TCTGCTTTGCTCCTCGTCCCCCTGGTCTGCAGACCAGGGGGACGGGGAGCAAAGCAGAGCAAAGCCTCGGAGCACGCAGGCAGCAGACAGCCCTGTCCGCTGCCCGCGTGTTCCGCCGCTTTGCTTCCTCTCCCTGGTCTGCTGTAGACCAGGGAGAGGGAGGGCCCTGTTCGTAACTGCAGATCCGACATAAGTCGGATCCGCGTAACTCGGGGACTGCCTGTACAGTGATGGGGAAAACCCCCTTTCCTCCAGAGATATGGAGACATTGACAAGGCAGAGTGAAGTTTGTTCTACAGCCATAGCTGAGTGCCTGTTAGCATTTAGCTCATGTGGTAGAGGCACCTGGCTTTAGTCCCTAAGGTTGCTGGTTCAATCCTGCCTGCCCACAACCAGGATCTGTCAGCTCTACACATGGCTGGGGCAAATGTCTGTGCTATAGGGGTGCAACGGTAGTGCTTGTAGGGAAGAAGTAGCTACTGTGGTGCTTTGCCCCCTTGCTGGGGTTGGATGCCAAAGTGGCTGAGCCTGCTACAGCACCAGCAAGCAGAGTTGGGTCTTGTTGGTGCATGCTCCTTTATGCCCAGCTCGATCCTTGCAGCTGATCCTAGAATTGTAGGATTAGGAGTCTAAAGCCCTTGTCGGGATGGGTATGTCCAAATGGTGGCTGACCCATGCAGGGGGGCTGCATTTCCTAGGCAGACCCATGCTGGGGTCAGGGGATGCCGTTGCAGGAGTGGGCCTAAAGAGTTAGACCCTGCTTTGGGAAATTGTTTGTGTTGTAAGGTAGGCAGGGTGGCCTAGTGGATAGAGCCTTCAGATTTGGCGGCAGGAGACCTCAGTTCTTGTCCCCGCCCTCCTACTAAACATGCTGGCTCACCTTAGACAAGTCAATCCCTCTCTGTGTGTCTCAGTTTCCCCCTCCCTCTCTTGTCTAGTTCACCGCAAACTCTTTCTGTAGACACATGCTGTGGCTGGCCCCGATCACTGCTGGGGCCTCTCGGCAGCATATACTACATATTGGTGTCTCTGTCCCTCTGTCTGAGAGTCTGTTACCTCCTAAGCAGTAAAAGGGAGGACCTCCAAATTTGGTAGGCAGCTTCCTCTTATAACTTAAAACAGGGTTCAGGGTTTGGCTGTGCCAAGACAATGGGATGTGCCTGGAATGGGATTGTGTCTCATAAATTGGAAAGGGAGGGGTCTGATAGGAGGAACAGTTATATTGTAGAGTGACCACAGGGGGGCAGCAAGGGGCCAAAGACAGGGACCTGGACAGCTATAACCCCATCGGGGCAACTGGGGGTAAGGGTGGAGAATGGGACAGCTATCTATTATATATTTTAGAAAGTGTAGCTGTTTGTGTGTCTGTCTGTGTGTCTGTCTGTGCCCCAGCCGGGGGACATGCACCCCTCCCCTGGCTGTGCTCACTACAGCAGCCATGGAGAGGCACTTCTCACCTGGCCCCACGCTGCTGCAGTGACAGAGGGCTGGGGTAGTCCTTTCTTCCCAGGGCAGCCTGCTTACTGATCCCCTCATCCCTAGCCCCATCCCAGAGCAATGATTTAAATCAGGGACGGGAAACTTAAGGCCCTGGGGCTGGATGTGGCCTTCGGCTTGCCTGGATCTGGTCCCAGAAGTTCAGGGCTCTCTCCTGCATTGGGGAGCCCATGCTGGCACTCCAGCCTCCCCACTGTTCCCCCATGGGGCTGGCTGCTGGCCTGGGCCCCCCAGGCTCTGGCATTGGAGGGGAATGTGGTGAGTGTCTTTCTCCTACTCATTCAGGGCCACATCAGTGAGAGTTTGTGGTTTTGGGGTTTTGGAAGGGGGGGGCTTTTTGCGTCTCACTTGTGTGTGGCCCCAAACTAATTTTTCTGTGGATCTGTGGCCCCCAACCCCAAAAAAGTTCCTCACCCCTGATTTAAATGAAGAAAACCAAACAATATTTTAGTTAAGGACCCGAGCCACACTGGGTAAATCCTCTAGTTCTTCTATAAATGACGTGTCATGATATAGAGGAAGGGGAACATTTTGCAGGGTCAGGCTGTTTTTATCAGACACTTAGCTCTCACTGGGCTTAGTGCCTCTCATTAATTCATCCTCCTGGCTTCTCACTGAGGCATGCCAGGGTTCCTGCCCTGCTTTGTCAGAAGGGGAAACTGAGGCGCCGAGAGCTGGGGAAGTTACTTGCTCAACTGACTCAGTACGAGAGCAGAGGATAGTCTACACTGTGGGCAAAAGTCGAGTTAAGATACGCAACTTCAGCTATGTTAGTTGTGTAGCTGAAGTAGCTTTTGGTGCTGTCCACACAGGAGGAAGTCGAAGGGAGTCTTTCGACTCCCTTTACTCCTCGTGAAATGAGGGTTACAGAAGTCAGAGTAAGAAGCCCGTTATTTCGAAATTATAACATGAGTTATGTCGAAATAAGCATGCAGTGCAGACATAGCTCAGGAATCCTGTCTCCTCGGTCTGTGCTCTAACCATTAGGTCACATGGCCAGAGCCTGGAATAGAACCTAGGAGTCTTGACACCTCTGCTCTCACCTCTCTTCCCTGCAACCACTTCTCCTCCCCGCTCTCGTCCCCGTTTGCCCTGCAGCTCCTGTTCTGCTTTGGGGACGACTGTACCTGGAACGACTCCATAGCGGGTTACTTCTACCATCTCTTCTTCGCCTTGCTCACCGGCTTCCTCTTTGCCTCCCACCTGCCGGAACGGCTGGCGCCTGGGCGCTTCGACTATATTGGTAAGGGAGGGCCCTGTATCCCCACCGGCTTTGTGGGAGCCTGGTCCATGTGTCTCGACACCCTGTCGCAAGGCCAAGCGACCAGGGCCAGCAGCGGTGATGGCTTCACCCCTTCTGTGGCTTCAGTTCCCCCATTCAGGGGGGACTGCTCCTTGGGGACCCCAGGAGGCCTGTGACCTGCCCCCCATGGAGGGCCAGGTGCCGGACCATGCGCCCCCCCATCCCCTGGCTACCCTGGACCCTGCACATCCAGGCCCCTTTCCCCCACTGTCTAGCTCTAGCGTGGCTCCATCTACCAGCTTCCCTGTCACTTTGTGACTGCCAGGGTGAACCCCAAGGAATTGAGGAGGGGGGCAGGAGATGTGCAGGAAGGCTCTGTAGAGCCTGGGGCCAGCTGGGGAAAGGAGAGGGGTGTTCTCTCGGCATCACCCTCTTCCCATCCCGCCAACCTGGGTCCGAGCCTCCCCACCAGCCCCGTTCTAGGCTTTCACCTCAGTCTCCCCACAACCAGGTCCCTTCCCCCACCCTCCCTGTCCCTCACTACCCCAGTGGTACCCACCACAGCGAGTGATGCCCCCCCCCAATCTCTTGGCAGGGCACAGCCACCAGCTGTTCCACATCTGCGCGGTGGTGGGCACCCACTTCCAGCTGGAGGCCATCCTGTCAGACGTGCGCTCGCGGCAGGCCTGGCTGAGCAGCCAGGCCCCGGCGCCCGCCTTCTCCACCACCTTCGGCACCGTGAGCTTGGCCCTGCTGGGGAACCTACTCATCATCGGGGGCTTCACCGTGGCTGGCCTGGGGGCTCCTCCATCCTGCAGAGCACCGTGCCCGAAGCAGGCCATGCCAAGGAGCAATGACGCCCGCTCGCCCCCAGAGACAGCGGGCCAGGCGGCCGGGGGTCTGAGCTCAGCAGAGAATGAAGGGAGAAGAGCCCCTAGCCTGGCTCTCTCAGCACCAGGCAGGCTCCACCTCTCATACCTCAGGATAGTCCGTACTCCCTGAGAACTGGAAGAAGAACCCAGGCGTCTGGACTCCTGACCCCTTGCTCTGATGCCCTGTAAGTGCAGAGTGGAGTGGCCCCAAGCCGTCTTCCTAGGAGGGGCCCCGACATGGCTGCCGCTTGTGGCCCCAACACCTCAGTGAGAGGTGGCCTCTGGACTTGCCCAGGTCCGGCCAAAGGGTTTACGGGGCCCACGGCAGGACGCCGGGAGCGGGGCCCTGGGCCCGGCCGATGGCTGGTAACTACTCAGCAGCGCGTGGCCCCGAAAGCGCAGGGCCCAAGGCATCTGTCTTGCTCGCCTTGCCCTAGGGCCGGGCCTGGACTTGCCTTAAGGAACTGGTCGTGATCCCATCCCGTTAGCCCTGAATCAAACCTCAAGGCTGAGGCGGCGGCCTCCTCCCAGCCCCGGGCTGGCTTGAAATCCGAACCGGAATGGGGCAGCTTGACTCCTTGCCGGCCAGGGACAAGAGGAGAGGCGCAGGTGGCTGGAGCCGGACTCCTGGGTTCTCTTGCGAACGTGGTTTCGTGGCTAGCGCCAGGATGCCTGGGTTCTCGTTCCAGTTCTGGGAAGGGAGCCTGGTCCCCGGGGACAGAGCCAGAGGCCTGGCTTCAGTCCCCAACCCTTGCACTGACGCCGTGTGTGACTTAGGACAAGCGGCTCCGTGCCTCAGTTTTTCCAGCTGTCAACAGGGCTAATGCCGCTCACCCGACGCCCCTGGAGATGCTTGGATGAGAGGCAAAGCAGGGGCCCTCCCTGACCTGCTAGAACCCCCCTACCTGTTCTTTAACCAAAGGTCCATGCCCAAGGCTCCAGTGTTGGCACAGCCTTCTGCCAGTGGCCGGGACAGGCCGGGCTGAGCTCCACCACAACAGCCAGCTGATTCGGCTCCTCCCTTTGCCTGGGGAGTGGGGTTGTGAATTTCGTAGCCGGGCTTTCCCCCTGGGCCTGCGTTTTGGGCTCTGCTGAGTTTATCTAACTAGCTCCGTGTCACTAACTGCTCTGCCACTAACCACCCAGCACCACCTCCCAGTAGCTCTGCCAGGTTGTACCTGCCCAGTCCTGCATCCCCAAGGGGAGGCGCTTGGTGCCAATGTGCCAGCTGATGGCACCGGCCACAGACATGAGGTAAAACAGGCCGGTGCTGTGCCTCGGGGCCGTATTTGTGGAGAGGGCCCTGTGTCATGTGCCAGACCTCCCCTCCGAGGTCTATGGGACCGGTGCCCCAGGGCATCAGCTCATATGTTCCTGTCTGGTGCCACCCACCCCCGGAGAGCCTCCTGTGGGGACCAGGGCTCTTCTGCACCCTCAGGAGCAGGGTCACCCGTTTTGGTCGGACGTGTTCCTGGGGGTTTCATCCCAGGGCACAATTCATCATGCGATCCTGAAGGGTTGGCAGTCCTGGTCGTGGGGGGGACCCGGCTGGGGCAGAAGACTTGTCTGTTGCAGCATAGTTAGTTCTGGGAGCAGCAGGGTGGCATCCATCGAGATTATGGGAAACCTGCCTCTGAGTGAGTGTGTGTTGGTGGGGGAGAGAGACACTGCTCCGCAGGGATGTTTCCTGCACCGCTAAATGTTTATGGTGGATTTTAAAGTTTCCTGCCAGCACTGACGATACCATCTCCCTCCACTGCTCTTCAGTGGCCCGTCCAAGGAGACAGTTTTAATCCCCATGCATGGTGGGGAAGCACTGGGATGGGCTCCCTAGGGAGGGGGTGGAATCTCCATCCCTAGAGGTTTTTATGTCCCAGCTTGACAAAGCCCTGGCTGGGTTGATTTAGTGGGGTTGGTCCTGCTTTGGGCAGGAGGCTGGACTCTGACTCCTAAGGTCTCTGCCAGCCCTGGGACTCTATGATTCTAGGTGACGCCAGTAGAGGGTTTGTGCTTCGCTGGGCGTTCAGCACCGGCCAGAATCTGCCGCCCGTTCCCTTGCTCCACACCACGCAGCGAGCCGGGCGGTGCGATTGCTCAGCCCAGCTGGGCAGAAGTGAGCTGGTGCTGGTCTGTCTGCCCTGCCGTGAGCATCGCACCTCCACCTGGCCCTGCAGGACCCCAGAATCCGGCCCCGGGAAATCAGGGCTCTCCGCGAGGTCCGCTTTGCAGCATGAGTCCTGGGAATAAACAAGCACTGAAGCAAGAGCAGTCTGCCTGCAGATCCCCACGTGTCTAGGGCTGGCAACTGGGAGGAACCTGTCCCGGAGAGTCCTCAACAGCCATCGGGCCGGAGGGACGTAGCTGAGATATTCTAGAGGGCTTATGGCTTGCGTAGAGGGCCTTAGTGACAAGGCCAAACCACGTGGAGAGGTAAAGGGGAGAAGAGGTAGCGGTTTGAGTTGGCGAAAAGCAAATGACCCGGCCTTGGCTCAGGCGGGGTGACGGTTTTTGTGGAGTCGACAGGGCGCTAGGCGTCTGCCTCAGCGGCGGGGGGGGGCTGCAGGCGGGGGGGGGGGGGCGGGAGGGGCGGGGGGAGCCTGTGATTGCGCAGAAGCATGGTAGGGGTGGGGGAGTCCCAGCCCCTGCCCCTGCCAGGCTCGGCTGCTCTGGGCAGCTAGAGAGGTGGCGAAGGCAGGGTAGTGAGGGGAGTAGTTTTCAGTGGTTCCCAGTAGGTGCTGAGAAGGAGCTAGATGAGGCAGCAAATGCAATAGCCAAATATAAGAAGCCTGATTCTTTTCCACAGCTCTCAGGCCCTGGCAGGAGTGAGGGGCGCTCCTGGATTGGAGGCGTGTTTCACTCGGGCCAGGGGGCTGCAGGGCACACAGTAGACTCAGACCTAAGCGGCATTAACACACTTGCACGGTGCTTATGTTCTTTTTCCAGGCGCTAATATCAAAGGCTAGTTAACCAGGCAGGCGGGAAGATCTCGGGCAGGCGAAGAGAACAAACCCTCGAGGGCTTGGCTTCGTTGAGGACTCTCCCGGACTCTGTTCCCCCAACCGAGGGGGCATTGGTGGGTGCTTCCAGCCCCTCCCCCAGTCTCTGCTCTAAATTCGGGTGCTGGTGCAAGCCGCTGCGCTTCAGTCGCTGGCGATCCTTGGTGCAGCCTCTCAAGAGCCCGGCGGCTGCTGCGGGCTCTGCTGCACGCAGGAGAGATCCTGGCCCCTTAGGAAATCGGTGACCCAAACTCCCACCAACTTCAGCGGAGCCGGCATTGGCCAGGCCGGGCACCCCTTCCTCTGTCGGGGGGCCCGATCCTGCACCCCTGGAATCATGGTGAGTTTGGCCCAGGACTCCAGCAGGCAGAGGCAGGGGTGGGGGTGCATGCGGAGATGTGTCTGTCTAAAAGGCGGACCAGGTAGCATCTCTCAGGACCAGCCCAAATGGCTTAGCCGAGAGGCCTCCTGCAGACTCCCTGAGTCTTAGGCCGCCACCTAGTGGCCTGTGTGTGTGCTGCCTTGTTCCTTCCCCTCCTGGGCTTGGCTTGTGCTTGCTTCCACCCTCTTCCTAACTTTTGCAAGGCTCCCCTGCAGGTACTGATCCATTGGCACCCGGCTCCCACCTCCTGCTGCCCTAGACCCGGCTTCTGTCTGGTCTTGTCGTCCAGCCCCCTGCCAGCCCTTGGGTGGTGCCTCCAGGCCAGCGTGCCAGGAACGATGGCCTGTTTCGCCGACATGCGGCCCCTCCCCTCCCAATCCAGGCTGGTGCCGTCCGTGCTGGCCCAGCCTCCACTTACCGAGCGGCTGGACTAAATCCTCGGTGGAGTAGACGAGCGTCGTTGCGCCATTGAAATCAGTGGACGGCTGCTGATCCGCACCAGCTAGGCATGGGGTAAAGTCTGCAGTTTGGAGCCAGGGCATTATCGATGGTGGGAGCAATTCACGGCTGCCTCTTGAAGAACCCAGGTCCCCCTCTGCTCCTCCTGTGTTCTGCCCGAGAACCTGGCTGTCTGCATGGAGCAGGGGGAGATTTACAGCGTGAAAGGTCCTGTGTGTTGCAAGGGGCTGCCTGGGATTTTACTATATTCCTGGTGTTTAGTGTCACCCTGGGTAGAATGGATCCCAAGCAGGGATGTGAAAGGTTAACCAGTTATCTGGTAGGTGTCACCCTGCTTAACTGGTTAACAGGCTACCTGGTAAGCATCAGCTTGCTTAATTGGCTAACTGGTTACCTGGTAAGCACCCCCCCCCCGCTTAATCAGTGAACCGGTTGCCTGGTAAGCATTGCCCTGCGTGATCAGTTAACTGGTTAGCCCTGATGTTTCGCAGCTTAGCTGATGAAACAGGATTTTACTTCCCTAATCCCAAGACACGCACTCACTTGCCAGATTTGATTTTCTCCCCAGCTAGAATCCAGCCAGCAGCAGACACAGCCTCACAGTGACTTCTGCCCGTTGTCGGTTCTTCTTCATGGAAGGGGCTTCCGTTTAGGGGCCCTGCAGGGTTGGCACCACAGGGCAGCTGTCCCTCCCACGAAGTGGGCTCTGGGGATTGGAGCCGGAGAACTCTGGGTGGGGGTGTGTCTGTCTCTCAGCCAGGTGATTATCGTTTCAGCTCCGGGGGAGAATAAGATCTAGTGGTTAGAGCTGGAACCTTGGGAGGGGTCTTCTCTGGTCCCCTGATGCTCCTGCTGACTTGCTGTGGGACTTTGGGCATGAAGTTACCTTGCTTTGTACCTACAGAGTGAAAGGCCCTTCTGGATTGATATGTGCTGATCATACTCTAGCTAGGCCTCAGGAGAGACCCTGATCCTCTGAAGCCTCCATAGCTAAGGAATATTCACCCCTACCCAGGAGCATGGCTGGAGGGATGGTTTTCTCTGGGGTAGGACCAATGGTGCCTCACGAAGGTTGATCTGGGCTCAATGGGACATTGCCAAACTCAGGATTAGAGAACTGCCTGGCAGCGTGGCCTAGGGGAGAAAACTCTGGACAGGGAATCAGAAGGCCTGGGCTCTTTATGAGGCTCAGCATGTGTCCCAAGAGAAGGCATGCAATCGTGTGCCTCAGTTTCTCCACCAATACAATAGCTCCAATAACTGTTGGCCAACTTTATAAAGGGCTTTGCGATTCATGCGTTCTAGAGGGGCTGGGGAATAGACAACCCCAGGGCAGTCGTCCTCTGAGTCTGTTTCCCAGAGCAACTGCCTTGCTGGTTTCTAATGCACCGAAAGTGAGAACTCGCTCGATCCCACGGCATTTTGAATTATCTCCTTCTATTTATTGTAGGCAGCGACGGGGGGCATTTGGCCTGGTCTAGTGCTCTGGGGAAGGAAGCTAGAATCAAGATCCATCTTTGGAAGGGAAATATTTGAGCCGGTGTCACCTGCTCCCATTGACTTAATTTGGATTTACACTTCATGTGCTTTCTGGGCATGTCATGTGCAGCTAATCCTAAGTCATAGGTCCTGTTCAGAGGGCAGAAGCCGGCTGATGTGATTGGATCCAGAGATGTAAATATCAGGACCAGCTTTGCCAGTGCCTGTTGGGGGTAGCGTCTAGGGAGGGGATGACTATTTTGTGAGGGGATGTCTATTTTCCTTCCTGGGAGGCCAGCCTGCAGTGGGTGTTCTCTGTGTGTTCTCTGATGTTGAAACCCTAGGACACGCCGCCAGGATCACTGTGCAAACAAACCAGGCCTCACTGCACCTGCTAGGTGCCAGTGACTTCTGAACTAGAAGGCTCACGTGCTATTTAAAGGGATCCAACCCAGTTCCTGGACGTCACCTCCATGCAGGGAATGTAGGGAGCTGTCTGCCCTGCTCCTAGGGGCTGAAGGGATCTAGCTCTGAATGAAATTTGAAAGCACTTACTGGGTGGTGGTGTGGCACTGGAGTAGGGGGGCCAGACTGGCAGCTGGCGGTTGAGGCTGCTTTCCTCAATTAGCACTTTGCGCTGCTGCTGCTCAGCCGTGGGTCGGGGATGGACTGTTACTGCACTTGGACAGGCACCAAACCTGCCTGTCTCGGTGTCCGATGGCCCTGTGGATTGAAAGTAATCGACTGCGCTGGGGCCGCTTGGGGGGGCTGGGTTTTTAACGCCATGTCTGTGCGTGTGGCATAAACAGCTTTAAATCCAAACTGGAATAAACGCTGGAACAAAGCCGGTTGTGGTGGTGTTTTCTTCTCGGACGGGCTAGCGCTCGGGAGAGGAGCCTCAGGGGGTTGGTTGCCTCCAAGGAGGAAGAACGGGGCAATTTCCTCGGTGGCCCCCAACCCTGGCTTCGAAGCTGTGAGCTCTGGGAGCAAGGCTGAATCTCACCTTTTGCAGCCGGCAGTGCCCTGAAATCAGTGGTGACATCTAGGGCGTGTCTGTCCCTCCTCTCCCCTAAGCCAGAGGATTCGGGAAGCCAGGACTCTGGCAGGGAGCACAGGTTACTGATTGGGAGGGGCTGGGAACCGGACTGCGCCCCCAGTTTTATGAAATGGCCGACTCCCCCAAGAACCCCGGCTGAATCTCACCTTTTGCAGCCGGCAGTGCCCTGAAATCAGTGGTGACATCTAGGGCGTGTCTGTCCCTCCTCTCCCCTAAGCCAGAGGATTCGGGAAGCCAGGACTCTGGCAGGGAGCACAGGTTACTGATTGGGAGGGGCTGGGAACCGGACTGCGCCCCCAGTTTTATGAAATGGCCGACTCCCCCAAGAACCCCAGGGTTGGAGCCTAGAACCCTGCTTCCAGGGAGCTGGAGGAGGGGGGAATAGACCCACCTCTGTGCCCAAAGCAAAGAACCAAAGGGGAGGGGGCAGAGTAAAGTGTAGGAGGGGATGGGAGCCAGCCAATCTCAGAAGAGTGAGAAGAGCAAAGCAGGAGGCTGCACAGAGTTAAACGTCCGCTCCGGGCCGGTGGAATTGTCTGCTGTGGCCACAGTCTGGCAAGGGCTGGTTCCCCATCAGCTGGGCTGCCCTTTGTTCCTCCCCTGGCTCTAGCTGAGCCCAGAGGTGGCTGCCACATGTTCCCTTTGGATTTGGCACTTCGCTCCCAAAGGCTTCAGGGTGGGGATGGTCCTTATGGTGCGTTCAGACAGGGCCTCACCCAATGGGGCTCTGATCCGGATCCTGGGGGACTCCCGTGTATGTTAAGGGAAACTCGCAAAGGTCTTTTCAATGGCTCCCTTCCAAGAGCTTGAGTCTCAGAGGAGTCACCAGCTTCGTCTGTTTCAGCAAAAACAACAAGGAGTCCTGTGGCACCTTATAGACTAACCAATTTACTTGGGCATCAGTTTTCATGGGCTGGAGCCCTCTTTGGGTATGTCTACACTGCAGAGTTTTTTCCAAAAAAAAATGTCACTTAAGTCACTTAAGTCCACGTAAGCAATCACGTTCTTTCGAAAAAAATTGAAAGAATGGAGGGATTTTTCCGACATTGGTAAACCTCTTTCTATGAGGAAGAAGCCTTTTTCCTGAAAGAACTCTGAAAAAGATTGCTTTTTCGATGCGTTTTCGCAGTATGGACGCGCTCTTTCAGAAGACGTTTTTTTCGGAAGATCTCTTCTGGAAAAGCTTCTTCCAAAAGAAGCCTGCAGTCTAGACATAGCCTCAGTCAGATGCATCGCAGGAACCGGGCTCTAGCCCATGCAAGCTGATGCCCAAATAAATGTAATAGCACAAGAGCTTCACTGAAGCAGTGTTACTCCTGCGAGGTAGAGCGGTATTATGGTTCTGAGCTTGTTTTAAAGACAGGGGAAACTGAGGCAGTGAGGCAGACTTTCCCTGGGGCCCCACAGAGCTGCCAGTTGAACACTGGGCTCCTAAATCCCACACTAGCCACCCAATCTCCTGGCCCGTCCCTTCTCCCTTTGTTCAGCCCAATCAACGAGACAGCAGCACCTTCCTCAAGTTTATTTTCTCACGGGTCACTAAAAAAACAGTCCATAGCATACAACCAGCACGCAGGCCGGGCCCGCAAAGGAAGCAGCCAGGGAGGCATTATAGATACAAGCGCAAGTGCTCCAGGCTCAGGACGAGGAGCGGGGCTGGCTGGGAAGGTTGGGACCATGAAGCTTGTGCGTTAAACACGCAGTTACAAAAATCAGCCTGGGGCAGCAGGTGGCTCCGTTCCCCGGCCTGCTGTGGCGTCAGTTGCCCTTTCTCTCTCCCCTGTGCACTGAGAGGGGCTCGGGTGGGTCTTGGGGCCAGAAAGCTCTAGACGGGCCCATAGAATCGCCTGTAAGCCTCTTGGAAGCCGATGTGGTCGGCCAGCTCGTCGCAGTCGGGGTTGAGCTCACAGACCTCCCGCTTGCCCTCCAGAGGGTCGTGGATGATGTCGTAGAACCTGCGGGTGAGCGAGGTGGGTGAAAGGGCGGTCGCAAGGCCTGCCGGTGCTTTAGGGGCTGTCAGAGTGTGGGGGCGTCACCAGGCCCTGCACCCCCAGCCGCAGCCACGCGGGACCCTCAGCCAGCAGGTAGAACAGACGGTTTATTGGGTCGCTGGGACACAGCGTAGCCCAGATTTCTTGTTACAGGAGCCATCAGTCCAATCCATCTTGGGGAAAGGGGTGTCCCTCCAGCCAGCCAGGCTCCCTTCTGCCTCAGCCAGCTGAAAACTAACTTAGACTCACAGCTCCTGCTCTCAGCCCCCACAAGCAGCCCTGCCTCCTGCTTTGCTCCCTTTTTTGGGGGGGGGGGTTATCTTTCCCAGTGAGTCATGACCAAGCTCCCTCTCCTCCAGATAGTGCTGCAGTGCCCAGGGAAACTGAGGCGCGCGCACACACACACACACACACACGGTCATTACAGAACAGCACAGGACAGTATCACATACAGCCCAACAAAGCAACCAATGAATACAAAGTGAACACAGAACTACAAGAGTGGACAAAATCCTCACTACATCACAGGGACCAATGTACCATCCACTTACAGGCAAGGAGCAGTGCACCTGCCTTTGGAATGCATCCACCTCTGGGGTGGAACACAGCCGAGTTTAACATTTGCTTTCAAATATTTCATTGAGGGCCCTGTGAAACACTTCAACCCAGAAGTGGCTGCATATCAGTCCTGGGCACATTAATCCTGGGGCTGGCCAACAGCTGCCGTGTTCCACCCCGAAGCAGCCCTGTGGAATGGTACACAGACTGCAGTTCTCTAGGGCTGCCATGCAGCCAGCTCTGGGGTGAATGCAGCAGCAAGGTTTTGACACAGAGCAGGGCAGGGACTAAGGAATTCACTTAGCCGGTTCTAATTCAGATGGCTTGGAAGCCGAGCAATGTCTTGGTGTTACCAGGGTGTGGGTGGACCTCCTGGGCCCTGGCAAAAATCACCCTGGAACTTTTTACATTCCCAAAACAGCCAGGGCTGGAGTCTGGTTTATTGTATTAGCTATAGGACAGGAGCTCGGCATCCTCCTGTGGGGCCTTGGCCAATAATAGACAGGCCCCAAGTATAGGAAGGCTGGCCCCGTGGATAGCACGCTAGCCTGGCCCCTGGGCAAGAAGGGTTCAGTTCTCTGCTATGGACTCTCTGTGTGACCTTGGGCAAGTCACTCAATCCCAGCTCCTGAAAGGAATTTAGGGCTGAGTGCCCTGGAGTAGGGAACAAAATGCCTTGAGCCCTTTGCAGCTGGGGGATCCAGGGCTGCTGGGAGTTGGTGTTTGGTGCTGGAAGGGAGCAGGACACCCCGCAAGGCCCCCTAGATCTCACAGGGCAGCCCACCAGATTAGAGTGACGGATCTCCGCTGTAGGGGGCTGACCCTGAGAACAGGGCCCCAGGGAGGCGGAATCAGGGAACTATTATAAGGTTCCTATGGTAACGGAGGCCTGGTGAGAGCATCAGCTGGGCTGAGCCTGTCCCACACTTTGGCAGGGGCCCCCAACGCTGGCTGTGGGGTGCGGGCAGGGCGTTACCTGCTGTAGACGTAGTTCCGTTTGTGTCTCTTCACCACCTCGGCGCTGTCCTGCTTGGAGACGAACGCTGCGCGGGCGGGAGAGAAAGGGGGTGTGAGGAGAATGGCAAGGGAAGGGGAGGGGGCTTTGCTGGGGCAAACCCTCCGTAGGCGAGGGCCAGAAATAGAACCCAGGCGTCTTGAGCCCCGTCCCACTTGCTCTAACCACTGGACCCTGCGCCCCTTCCCTGAGCGGGGAAAGGAACCCAGGTGTCTGAGCCCTGGGCCCACTGCTGAGAGCAGGGAGCTGGCTGGGGGGCCAGGTGGCTGTGAGCACTTTTGGAAGGTTCCTGAAATGCCTGGCTTGGGTCTCACCTTCAGAGCTGGGCGAGTCGTTCGCACTGTTGGAATGATCTGAACCTGCAAGGTGTGGAGAGAGAAAGGGTCATAAACAATATCCCTCCCTTCCGTGGAGGCTGGGAGCAGGACTGTGTGCAGCTGGGCGTGGAGCACACGATGGCTGATCTAAAGGGAACAGATCACGGTGGAGGGGAAAGGGCTGGAGGCCAGAGTTTGGAGCGAGCCTCTCGCCAGCGCCTTAAGATCACGCCCATCAGTTCATGGCACTTTGCAAATCTATCGCAAAGCATGCTCAGCCCCTGCTAGACATGAATGATGCTCGCTCCCATCCCCATGTGAGCCACAGCCACCTGGTTATTCCCATAGCACAAATGGGGAAACTGAGGCAGAAGGCAGGGCGGTGATTTGTGCTATTGTTACACCGCAAATGAGCTGCCAGCAGGCTGAGGCTCAGCACCCGCCCTCCCCCCCATTCTAACCACTAGGCCACACTCCTTGCCTCTGCCATAGCACTGGGAAGAGGCACTTAGCTCTCAGCCATACCACAAGCCCTAGAAGCATGGAGCATGGGGGTATAACATGACTGTGAACTTGAACGGCTTTGCTGAGCCATTTTTCCAGCTGCTGGGCCCCACCTGAGCGAGGGAGAAGGACTTGCTTGCAGTCCCACCGCTAGTCAGTGACAGAGCGAGGCCTAGAACCCACGAGTCCCACCTCCCTCTCCCCACTCGGACTGGACACAGAACCCAGGAACCTGCTTTCCAATGAACCAAGCCTGTCCTTACCCATACACAGAATACACAGCTGTGTGGGGCACCCAAACATTTGGGGCACCCCCCCAGGTCTTTATGTCCACCCACCCGCCTCGTCCTCACCCTGGACTGTGGCTCTGCAGCCCCCGGAGAGGAGCCAGTTCACTGCAAAGTGACAAAGAACGGCCAGAGCTATTGCGAAGCAGAACCTGTGAAAAAGCCATTCAAGGGGAAAAGAAGCCATTTCGGGCATTTGCCGGCCTGGGTACAGTTTCTGAACTGACGTGTGAATGGGCAGCCCTGCGTTTAATGTTTGCGTTCCGATATTTCAGGGGTGCGTTGCTGGGGATTATAAAATCACATCTCCAAAAAAATCTTCATCCGCTCGGCTGCATCGGGCCCAGGGGCACCAGTGTAATCAGTCTGTGTAGCCCCCCCTGCAGCTCCAGGACGACCCTGCTGAGCCCCCAGGAGCTCTGACTCCCTGCTCCAGTCTCCAAACCACTTTTCCTATTTCTCCTACTCACTAAAGCCTGGGGAATGGAGCCTGCTTCCTGGGGGCAAACGCGCTGGGAGCAGCTCTTGCTCCTGCCACGAGCCCGTCACCCAACAGCCTGCAGTTGCACCTGTGTCAGGGAGCAGGCGGGCCAAGTTTTTCAAAGCAGCTTGAGGGACAAATGCGCCAGTAGCATCAATCACTGGAAGGCCACTGGTGCCCGCATCTAGCCACCCCTTGCCCCGTCTTACCGCCACGGCAAAGGCACAGGGTTGCCAGTGCCAGCAAGGTCACCAGGGTGAGGGTCTTCATGGCGACGGCCGATGGCTCTGGTCTCTCTTGCAGGATGCTCAGCCGATGCCTGTTGTAGCCCCAGGCCCGCCTGCCAACAATTATAATCTTCTGGTCACCCC